ACTTATAAACATCTAAGAAATGACCTTAAAATATATGAATCAAAAACTGACAGAACTACAAGATAAAACAGACAAATCTATACACATAAAAGATTTTAACAATAATAATAAGATGTAACTATTTGAATGACCTGATTATGGTACCTAGTTTAAGTGGGCATAGAACTCTACACCTGACAACCACACAGCACACACTCTTTCCAAATAATCAGAGAACACTGGGCAATAAAGGAAACCTCAAAACACCACATGGAAATAAAGCTAAAATAACACATTCTAATGAAAATTGAAGGGGCACCTGGGTGGCTCAGTCCGTTGAGCGTCTGCCTTTGGCTCAGGTCATGATCTCGGGATTCTGGGATCGAGCCCTGAGTCAGGCTCTCTGCTCAACAGGGAGTCTGCTTCTCCCTCTCCCTCTGTTCTTTCTATCTCTTTCTCTCTCTCTCTAATAAATAATTAAAATCTTTAAAAAAAATTGAAGTTGCTTATACTTTAGCTCGGAAGAATATCATATTCTTCCAAGTAGCATACAAGTGCCTAAAGAATGGCAGAGAGAGTCAGGAGATGCTACTTCCAACTTGAGGAACATGGCATTTGCATGGAGCTTTAAAGGACTGAGGCTTTTCAACTTAGAGACACAAACTTGAAGACATGTTTGGATAATACTAAATAGAATGATATGGAGAAATATTGGATATATGAAGGAAATAGCAGGATGTACCACCAGAAAGGCACTGAGGACTCAGCCCATTGCAAAAAGTGATCATCAAACTATAAAGATAGGGTATGCTCTAACAGAGTTTATCACATACATAAACTACAAAGTTTAGTTGAAGCTTTCTGTAATTTGAAAGAAGCGACAGGTACTTGAGAAATGATGGGACAAGAATACAGGAAACTATAAAAATTGCTGAGAAACATTAGAAATTGGAAAACATTTGTTAAAGTAATTCTGCCTAAGAGTACATCTCAGGTTGTCTTTATATATTTTAACAAACAAACACAACTCTAAACTGAATCTAAGTTGAATAATTTCTGAAAATCAAAACTGTCAAGACAGAAAGCTGGAAACGTGAGTTCTGGGTGAATGACAGATCTGTGTCACCCTTGGTAAACCCAACCTGCACTCCCCAGGAAACAGAGAATTGACTGTACTTTCTGCGGACTTTGGACAATAGGTTTCCCACCTATGTTCACTCTGTTTAAGACCCTTGATGAGTAGTCCTTCAAAGTCATTTCTGAAGCTTTTTTTCCTTTTTTCCAAGAACTTCAGACTGGCAGCTCATGAAGGCTGATCTTTAGTTCTACGGATTACTCTGTTATCAGCTTCCAGTTCCAACTCCTAGGTTCACTATGCAACTGGCTGTTTGAAGAGCCATAAAATTGGGGCGTCACCATTGCACAGTTTAGTGACTCCTAACATTTGTCATGACACTGATTGCAAAAGTATTCTAGCTCACTGAATTTTTGTAATAAAAAGTGGCCACTGTATCTATATGCATACTATATAGAAGTTGTCTAGACAAACTGAAATTTTCACATGTTCTTCTGGATATTTTCCTCCACATTCGTGGCTGGAAGTTATTTAAGCCTACCATTCCCTAAAACAAGTTTGCAATTCTCTTATATCTTCTTTTCAGGCCTTCTGAGGAATTCTCTTTCTCAGGGCCCAAAAAGGGCCATATCATCATTTCCACACCATTCTATTATCTACTTGATGTATCTATGGAGACACTTTTTAAACAGAATAACATAATGTACTCCTGGATCTTCTCACATGTACCAACGTTAGGGCTACTCTGCACACGTTGATTAGTTTCATAAGTAACAAAAAATAATGCTGAATTCAACTGCACTAATAACATTCCTTGTTAATGAATATTTCCTGAAAAGCTAAAATTTACTATTGGCCAATAAATTTTAGTTTAACCTCAACTTTTAGACAATATGTTTAATACATCTTTTTAAATTTCTACTCAAGAAATGATAATAATGAATACTTATAAGTAGCTGTTAACAAATTAGAAATATAAATCTTCAAAATACATATGAAATATGTAAAGCTATAACTGACCCCACTATATTATTTTAATTAAAGTAATTTTTATCAAAGAATATATAAAATTGTGAACAGGGAAATTATATATATAATATATAATATATATAACATATATTATATATATATATATTTCTCCATTTGAAGAGATGATCCAAACTTACTTATGTAAAAACTTGTCATCACTGACATTTTATGTAACACAAAAACAGCCATTTTTCTATTCATCAAAAGTGACTCATCAAACATATTAAAATGTTTCTTTTAACTTGATTCATTTATATTTTTTGCTTTAAATTAAGCTAATGGATTTTAAACTTCCTCCTCTCCTTTTTCCACTATATTCATGGTTTTTAACCACAAACTCAGGCTGATAACCGAAAATTCAAATTCCCATATTTTGGTTGATTCTCAAGGACAAAGACTGAAAACATATTAGATCAACAGGTAAGGCCTATAAAAATAAGACAAGACCATAGAAAATAAAATACAGTCAATATGCAATTATCTAATCAACCCATTTGTATATATATTGTAAGACCTTTTTTCCCTGCTTCTTTTTCTATTCCTCAAACAATTCTTAGTTCTCTCAGGACTTTCCATATAAATACCCTGCTCTCCACTTCATTTTGCTGAACCTATTTCATGAATGCAGATATTAAATACCTTTGTTTAGTTTAAGTTTCATGGTCTGTAGGTCCAACATAGATCGACTGAAAAAAAGCGGGGGGAGGGGGTGTGTTGACTCATATACATGGCCAGTTCAGTAGATTTGGCTTCAGACAAAGCTTTAAGGCTCAAATGATGTGGAGAAGATTTTCTCTCTCCTTCCCACCCCCGCCCATTATTCACTTGTACCTTCCTTGTGTTGGTCCATTTTCAGGTAGGCTATACTCTCAAGGTCCCAAAAAGGTTACCAAGCGATCCCGGGGCTACAGGCTTTTTTGTTCAGCTATAGGGTTAAAGTGAGTCATGGCTCAAATAAATTCCAGAAACTGAGTCTTGGCCCTGTTTGGCCAAGATCATCCTTGAAGCAACCATTATAATATGGTTGATGTGATATGCCAATAGACTTGAGCTAAGGAGGATCTATTTCTAGAGCTTGGGGTGTGGCCAAACATATTCATACTATATTGCTGGGAAATGTTGGCAACAGTTCAAAAAGGGGGAAGGGCATATGGATGCTAAGAAAGCAAATATGATAGGTGAATTCCACTATACTCTTGTCTGGATTGTAGAGAATTTGGATTTGTTATATACAAAGGATTAAATGGGTACAATAAATAATTAGTTGATTTGTACACATATTTTTAATGTACTCCTGCCTAACTTCTCTGTGAAGATTTTCCTATGCTGAGGCTCAAGACAAAGAAAATTCCACAATAAGATATAATTGTAATATGCTTCAAATTAATTTTTTATTCTATAAACTATAAGCATCACTCTTATTGCCCCAAAATATAGCACTTCATTCTGTATCCTTTCCCTGTCCCATCCTGATATATATCACAATGAGCAAATAATGTGTTTATGTGTTTATGAGAAAAACATAAAAGTTAATTATTGTGGCTGTATCGTAAGTACTATTATCCAAAACACTGGGGGTAGAAGCTTGTTACCCTACATTTAAGACTAGTTTAAATTTAACAACTCACAACTCACTCAGACTGCTCCATCACTATTTGGGAAATCTAAATGTACTTAAAAAGATGATGAAAGGAGTACCCATTATTTCATTATAACATGAAATATCTACATCTACAAATTTTTCTAAAAACAATAATAGCTACTATATCCATGAGGAAAACTTGATATGGCATAATTCCTTACAAAAGCAGACCTATCTTGTTGCTTTTTTAACAGTGTTTTTCTTAGAACTAAAATATTATTATAGTGTGCTTTACATATTTTAACAAATAGAGCCCACAATCAATTTGTAGGGCTCAGAATAAAAGACAATAAAAAATGAAAAAAAAAAAAAAGAAGATCCTCAAAGACTTCTTCCTTCCTGCTCTGAGGACCTAGACAGTGTTTTCTATATTTCCTACTTGCTCAATCAATAATCAGTTTAGGAGGCACTCAGTTGATAGGGTTTTGAAAAGTGTATATGTGTCTCTAACAGAGGGCAATCCCATATGTATTCAGGTTTGGGTTTTCTCTTTAGGTGTCTTCAAAACATTTTTTTTTTAATGCTTTTGTTGTCAAGAGAAAAGCAAATGAGATAAAACATGGGTCTTTGAGCCTCCAGGTCTGGACACAGAAACAGAGTCCTCACGTTGAATTTTACAACGACTAGATACAAATTTAACAATATGTAAAGAGAGTCTCTTTAGAATTCTAATGGTGAGGCTGGAGGCAGAAATAAGATGCAGCCTGTGGCTCGCACTCCACCGCAGGTAGCTTAGCTACTTCAGTTTTATCCAGTGTGTTCCAACAAGGCCTCACAAACTGCACTGAGGTTCAAGAAGCATCTCTCAGGCGATGATGCATAAAGACACAGGGATTTTTTTAGTCAATCGCAGGGATTAGGCTTTAATGCTTTCTACTAAAAGACTTCATACCCCAGATAGCTGACTGCTATCCACTGAATCTTGGCAGCCCATAAGACTGCTGAAGCTGAAACGAGGAAGCTATGTTAAGCAGATTTTCGTGAATGTACAAAATGCTTTATTTGTAAAGCTGCTTTTCTTTGTTGCAATTTAAAATTCTTTTTGCTTCCCCCCCTTTTTTTTGATCTCTCAGTTTGATCAACTCTCAGTCTTTATCAAAATTACTTTCCAAAAATGTCCCTTAAAGAGCCACAGGAGAGAAATAAATGCTTACCTCATCAAAAAATAAACATTTTTTTAAGGAATAATTCAAAACATGTCAATTTAAGAGATTAAAAATGATCATGGTCCTTACAAAAACTACACAATGTACAGAAAGACATGAGATACTTTACCATTATCTGGAAGTTCTAGAGGGCTACAGACACCATTTTTGGTTCTGCTGTTTGGTGAAGAGATCAGTTTCTCAGCGAGAAATGCCGAGATGGGCTGAACTAGCAGAGACGTGAGGTTTGATCGGTTTTGCCTAAAGCTTCCATCTGGATCGAAAAGAGAAGGGAACAGAATCCTTAGCAAACAGAAATTAAAAACACTTGAAGAGACATTTTTTGTAATGCATATTTAAAATATGAACCATATGTTTATCTTAGTTCATTTGTTTAAAACACCTTAGTTATACTCTACTTATTAAAGATGATTTGAGGTACTTCAGTCCAAATACTTATGTATCCTAGTTAATGATGGCAGATTATACACATGCATCTACCTCCATTCTCCCATAGAACTCCACTGAAATGACAATAAAAGAATAAAAAAGCATAAATCCACAGGGGCTGACCAAAGAAAAGGGACAGTAGCAATAAAATTTTAAAAAGCTAGAAAGCAGATGCATAAGTTGTCAACTGATGTAACAAACCCAAGGAGACCAAAACCTAAGCCAGCAGAGGGTAAGCTGAGAAGCAATGCAGTTTGTACCACAGAACCCAGAAAGGCTTAGGAATTGACCACAGCACCTACCTATTAAAACATGGGTAAAGGAGGGCGCCTGGGTGGCTCAGTCGGTCAAGTGGCTGCCTTCGGCTTAGGTCATAATCCCAGGGTCCTGGGATCAAGTCCCACATTGGGCTCTCTGCTCAGTGGGGAATCTGCTTCTCCCTCTACCCTTCCCCCTGCTCATGATCTCTCTCTCTCTCTGTCTCAGATAAATAAATAAAACCTTTAAAAAAAAAACCACATGAGTAAAGGAGGGGGAAAACAGGAGAATTTGATGAAATTCTGATTGTGAAGGTATCTCTCCTCCTGAAGTGGTCATTCATGTCTTCAATCAAAAGAGTGTCTATTCCTCCCCCACTCCCTCAGAAAAGTGAAAGGGGATGCTGAACAGGGAGGAAGACACCAGACACAGTGAAGGGGGGGCGGTATCTCATATTTAAAATGGGATGGTCTTATAATTGCCAAGACTTGTCAAATGTTTTACTGTCTTGGTGCCCAGAATCCTTCCTTCCAGGTAGGGCAATAGGAAGTTCACTTGTAGTAAATAACCAGGTCAATGGAGACTATATAAAAAATACTGAAAATCTGGAAGTCCACCAATAAAACACCTCACCAGAGACATCCTATGTTAAAGTCCATCAGTCAATAAACCCCATCCTTATACAGAATTTCAAATCAACTCAATTTTGCCATTCTTAAGTAGGTGCCCTCAGTCAAGGACAATCCTAGAAGGCACACATGCATCAGAGCTTATAAGGAGAAGAGTAAGGGGGTCAGGAGGCTCAGGGAGGGAGGTCTCCAGGAAGACAAGGAAAATGGAAAAACCAGATGTGTGCTAATGTATTGAGAGAATATTTACAGTAGAGCTCAGAGGGTTAGCATGTGAGGAGCTTCTAGATATATAGAAAAATAAGAAATCTAACCATCAGACAACCTTTAGCTTCAGAGGGAGCAAAGAGTTGTTCAAGAAAGAAATGTAATCATCATACAATGTAATAATATTTACATAGTCATATTCATATAAATAATGACTAACACACACACAAAATGATACTCTTGGGAAAAAAAAGAAAAGGGCAAAAGTCAGGGGTGACGGCCCATGAACACTTGTGAAAGCAAACTAAATCTTTATCTTCCATACTGGTAATGAATAAAACTGAAAAAATGAATTCAACTGATAAACATGTTTTGAGAGACAGAGAGATAAATATAAAATGTAGGGAACAAATGAAACTACTGAAAGAAACTGAGTGTTTGCCTTTGGGTGAGAAAGTAAAGAGAAAACATAGGGAAGGAGGGGAGAAGATGAGATTTTTGTAAACTAACTTTGTAGAATTATTTGAATATATTTATTTGTAACTTTGAGGAAAACAAAAATTAAATAAAAATAAGGAGAGAAAACTATGTGACAGAAGTAAAAGAAAAATCCACAAGTACTGAGAGTAAAGAGGATGGAGAGAATAAACTAAACTGTGCTTAAGAACTAAAAAGTACATATTCAGTTAATATATTTATACTGACTCAGAGAGGAAATACACAACGGAATGACTCTCTCTAGCAGCCAAAACGTCTGTGAACACAGAGCTTTATTTTTCAAAGCTTTTGTTAGGGAAAATGATTGTCAAAGGTTTTCTCAGAATTTAATTTGATAGGACTGCAGGGGGTGCAGAACTCAACCATACTGGTATCCAGGCTCCAGCAGGCAGATTATAAATGAGAAAATATGTTACAGAAGTGTTTCCTTAATTTATCATCTTGAAAACCACAAGACTAAAAAAAAAAAAATGATATTTAGCTTAGGCCTATGGCAGCCATAGCAGTCATAACTTTGAAGAAAAAATAATAAAGATACAAGCTCAGGATCAGGTTTGTGATGCAAACACAGTGCTGGTTGCATAATCCAGGAACCCTTTTTATATGGATATAGGACAGTGCATTTTGACTACAGTGTAGTTCATTGCTTCCTAGCAATTTTCATGTCATAGGACCAAGAGTGGCTGTATAATTTGCAGGTCCCAGAGCAAAATGACAATGTGGGACTTCCTGTTCGAAAACCATGAAGAATCTCAAGATGGTAATAGCAGAGCATTAAATCAAGTGTGGGCCCTTCTGAGTGGGGGCCGGTGCGACTGTGCACACTGCATGGTCGTGAGCCAGGCCCTGCAGGGCTCATACAGCACAAGAAGCCGTTCCGTGCACTGAGACAACCTGAAGGGAATGCTCACATCTCAAGCAAGCTGCTGTCAGCCTCAGGTGACCAGCCCTGAGCCTCTGCTGCTCTAGGTCACATCCGGGACCAGAGCGGTTAATATCTCCAGGCATAGATGGTGCCCCTCAGCACACCCGCTGGGAAGCCCCGATACAGCTCTCTTACTCTGGTTCCCCAGAATGGATTTTCTCCATCGGCCATTACCTTCAGGATTTCTAGCGTAAATGGAACAGTGAAACAGTATTTATGAGAAATGTGTGATCTGTTATTTTGATCTTTTCATGGACGTTAGGTGCTGACACATCACCAACACAAAATGAAACTTTTTAAAATGCTACATGACCTCACCCCTCCCCAGATCGAATGCCGAACTCTTTGGTTTGCCACTCAAGGCTCTTCACAATCTCAGACCTTGTAGTTTGAACGTTATTTCCGATCGTGCGTCTCCATACATTTTATGCTAACCGTTAAGATGTCCACCCACGCGTTCTGCGCTGTGCGTCCTCCAGGTTGTTGCTACAGCCGTTCCTTGAGCTTTCAGGGCTATTCTCATGCATCACACTATCTGAACTTTACACTTTCTCTAAAACCCAACTCAAAAGTCACTTTCTACGAGAAGCTTTCTCTGTTGCCCTCATCTGTGTGCTATTTCTGCGCTTTTTTGTAGTGTTTGTCATTTCTAATTAACATTATCATTACATTTCATACTTATCACTTTATAACTTTGTTTCTCCTCTTTAAACTCTTAAATTCCTTGAAGAAAAAAAACAAGTCTTCTCCATTATTGCATAACACACAATTCCTAACACAGGGCCAGGACACAACAGGATCAGCAATTCTTTGAAAAATACTTTCAATGCCACTATCTCACTGGTTTTCTGAATGCCTTCAAGATGGAACAAGGGTACAACTAAAGAATGAATTAAAATTTTATTAATCCTATGCCTGCTACACATTTGTGCTTTTTCTCCAGCTAACTGCCTCCCACAGCAAACATATTACATAGACTTTCAAAACCCATCTATCCCCATCAACTCACTGGTTAACCTTGCTGTAAACTTACCCTTTACGTGTAAAAAGAAAAGACTCTCTCCCCCCCACATTCTTCCCCTCCTGCTATCACGGAACACTACATCAAAAACTAATGATGTCATGTATGGTGATTAACATAACAATAAAAATTTTTAAAAAGACTATATAAATAAAATAATCCGAGATGTATTTATCTGTTAATGAAAAAATCAGTAACTGTGTTTCCTTTTTCCCTATAATGCTCTATCAGGCATATGAAGCAATACATTTAAGAGTTAAATATGAGTGAACCCTAAACCCTAATTGAACACATTTAAATCTTTGATTTTTTTTTCTGCATGACTAATAGACTTGCATTAGTTTTGAAATATCTAAAGTGGTTCATTAATTTTTCACCTTCAGCTTAATGGAAGTTTGACAAACAGTTCACTTCTGAGAGCAGATAGTAAAAGCAGGACTTTACAGTATACTAAGATTAAATTACGGACAAATGTTATTTTTTTTACTCATTTATTGAAGAAGAGCTGAGAATTTTATTTTCTTACATTATTAAGAGGCTTTGGATAAAACCAAATAATATACCATTTTTATTCATTTATATTTTAAAACACATTTATGAACTATAAGGTATGTGTTGAAAATCAGGCATATTGTGTGCCTGATGGAAAGGGTACCATACAGAAAAGATGTTGACATTACCTCCTAGCACTCCAGCTTTTATTTTTATTTTTTAAAGATTTAATTAGTTTGAGAGAGAGAGAGGGAGAGCACAGGAGGGGGGAGGGCCCGAGGGGGGAGGGGCAGAGGCTCCCTCCCTGAGCAGGGAGCCAGATGTGGGGCTGGATCCCAGGACCCCAGGATCATGACCTGAATCAAAGGGAGATGCTTAACCTATTGAGCCACCCAGGCGCCCCAGGACTCCAACTTTTAGATTATAGCATAGATATCGTGCCCGGTTCATTGTTTATGTTCAGTAAAGACTGACACTAACTTTTTTTTTTTTTTTTTTACTAGATAGGTAGTTCTCTCTTCACCTTATGCACCCCTTGCAATCCAGATAAAGATCCAAATCAATCCATGCTCTCAATTATCCAGTCCCTGACACAAAGCCACATGCATGTAGGAGAAAGAGGAAAAAGGACATAGGGTTCCAAGTTTGACTTCATCACTGACTGAATCTGTGAAATGTAATGTATAGACAATTTCACTATGCCAGTATTGTCATCCCATCTACTATACTTGAATAACCAAGGTGACACTGAATGGCCTTCACTATTCTGACTTCGTGAAATAAAAATGCATTAC